TATTTTCCGTTTTTCTGAAAAACGGTAAGAGACCGCCAAGAAAAAAGTTCAGATTCGTAATCTACGACTTCAAAATAGGGTGTATACCAATTTTGGTGAAAATCGGACGATTTCCAGTTTTCCCAATAATTACCAAAAACGTCAATTTTTTATTCATTTTTACCTTGCCCCCCCCCCTAAATTTCATTCTTCCGGCGCCCATGTCAGTGGCGCACATGTTCTTTTTAGAAAAATATTTCGGTGATAACCCGGTAATAAATATATTGTAATATTTGAGGGGTGGTTTCACCCTCTTGGCACTGGAATTTCGAAAAATCCCTTCTTATCAAACCTCTACACCCTAGAATCAACCTGTATGCCAAAATTGAGCTTCTTACATTGAGTGGTTTCAGCAGGATCGTGATTAATCAATATGTCAGTCACTTAAGGATTTTATATATTAGTATAGATATGTATAGCCATTTATATTTAAATTTTACAGATACTTGAGAGTCTTGAGAGCAACTAAAAAACAACCAACAGGAGGATAAATTTTATTGTCGGTGTTTAATTAATTTATTACAAAGCAAAAACTAAAGCAAAAGTTAAATTTTACATGCAAAAAATATTGATCGTTTTAAAAAAAGTAAGCGACCCTGCCAGGATTCGAACCTGGAATCTTCTGATCCGTAGTCAGACGCGTTATCCGTTGCGCCACAGGGCCTTGGTAGATTTATCTGTAAAGCTTTTACTCTTTGTAGGGCATATTGGTGTAATACAAATGTTATGATTTTACTTATAAAAATATATTAAAATATTCATCAATATAAAATTTAATAAAAACAAAAATTAAAAAACAACAGAAAAGCTACTAGAAACACTAGAAAATAGTAAATATAGGAATTAGAAATCGTTTTTCCTTTGATATCTTTATAAAACACTTGTATCTGATATTAAATTTGTAATTATCATTTTATAGGTACTCTTCCGGGATTATTTCTCACACAAATAATATGTTCACAGTAGTTATATTATGGATATTTAATCATGAATGTATTATTTTATTATAGGTATATTTAGAAAATTTCGAATCGCCGATTTAGGACATAGAGACACCTAACGGTTCTGCTGCAACATACTTTGCTGCAGGAGACAGAAGTCACTGTAACAGAAACTCACTACTAGAGACCTCTATTGCCATCATCTATGAAGTAAAATTATTGAGCTTATGTATACTATTATAATTTTCTGTTTAGTTGAGAACATAATAAATTTATACTCCCTATTTGTTCCAACTAGCTTCATATATGTATGTACAGGGTGGCGCCTCTCATACGACGCGGAAGCTCCACGGAGAACTGTAGTTTATATCGCAATAAAATTTTGGGAGCATATATAGGTTTCTAGATGGTTTGATTTTTGATTAATGTTTGCTCTGAATAAAATTCAGTGAAAATGTAAATCAAATAATACTTTATCAAAAGTAGTTTTTGTTAATACCGGGTGCGTCTCAAAAGTCGTTCACCTGACTCTGAATAGAATGACATATCATATGTCAACTTTTGACATTTTCGCATATGGTTTATTTGAAATTATAACATGCGGTTCATAATCACACAAGACAATTTGACTCCAAATACCAATTAAGTTTGTGGTATCAAATTATTGGTAAAAAAATATTTTTTTCCAAATATCCTAATGAGCCACCCTCGTTCCATTTGAAAAAAATGAGATATTATTAAAAAACAGATAAATAAAAAATGATATTTAAATTCAAGAATAGTAGATACGTTCACTCTGAATAAAATGCAGTGAAAATTAAGATCTAGTAGCTTATCAAAAGTTTTTCTTATTAAAGTATCAAATATTTTCAAAAATAAAAATATTTGAGTTTAATTTTTAAACAAATTTTAAATCTAGTAAATATTAGATTTTAACAGAATAAACAACCTACACTAAAACGCACAAAACTTGATATTCGTTTCACTTATTCTTACTTTACCTAGTATTCTGATTACTATTAAAATCGTTCTAACAAAATAAACCAAATAACAATCAAACATTGAAATAAACCATAAAAATAAACGTTTCTATAGTTTAGCTGACAATTGAAAATCATAAAATTAAACGACAACAAACGATAAAATTGTTGGGTATTAGAGTTGACTAGTGGGACGTAGAAGCTAGTGGATTTCCTGTTTCGGACGACACACAGTGGATCGACCCTATATGCAACTTGGTGGACATTCAGCAATAATTATGCAAAATTACTAAATTGAGATATTTTTTGAACAAATGTGTCCTAAAAACTTCAAATTTGTTAAAAATAGTCATAACTTTATTTTAGATAACTTACTGAATAGTGCACGCGTGTTTCTCCAGAATATATATTTTATTTGAATTTTCGTATTAAATTGACTATTACATATTAAACTGCATAATTTTATACTTCTCCTAAAATATAATGAACTATTTATCATATTTTTATTCTATATGAATTATGAGATTAAAAAAAAATGCGTTGACAAAGATATGAAAAAAGTTCTATACAGATGTTGTATAGTATAAAATGGTACATATCCTAAAAATATTTTGTTGTATACAGGGTGTCCCAAAAAAAAAGTTATGATAAAGCTTTAAGTTTTTTTTACATTGCATCTCCAATTTTTGTGTACATAATTGGATATAAAATAAAATTTTGCATATAGTAGCTCATCTTCATCTAATAGTTTTCACAAATCTAATCATTTGGCTACAATACTCCGTGTGGAATAGCATAAACAGCCCTGTATATTTTTTAACTGATAGTTCATGTCAGGACAATTTTTCTACTAAAATATAAATTGACGAATGAAATCTTGTTAGTTTAGTTAATGGTCAAAGTTAATAGTATAAGAAATATGTCACAAGTAAGTTGGTAAAAATAATCAATGCAGTTAGGAAATACTTGTGGAAATACTGTATTAAGTACCTATTATATACCGGGTGTTGACAGGTTATTGACATGTAAATTTTAATGGGGTCAATTATTGGCTTCCCTAATTATTTTAGAGAATAATTCTATATAGGTTTATTGAAGAGCACTAAAACCCACATTCAAAAGAATAACCGATTAGTTATCGCCGATTTCTTTTTAAATATTTCTCCTTTTTTATGGCCCTGTATTTACTTAGCAGCACCAGTCAAGGTAAAAGATAACTGTAAAATGAAGTTGTCATTTTAGAAATTTACCTATTTAGTGCTTTATTATTATTAAAACTCATACCTACATCGAAAATATTAGCCATGAATTACACTACCGAAGAAAAAGTATTGATGATTAAATGGTATTATCAAGGAAATACTTATCAAAAGATGTCGGACATGTTTGCTGCTCTGTATCCGAATAGACCGATACCTGGAAAATCTACAATCGCAAGGAATATCCAGAGATTTGAGACCAAAAGTACCCTAATAAATAACTGCAGATGTGAAGCAAGGCAGGAACAAAGAGAAGATGCAAGAAATGATACCGACTTGGAAGTTTTATTGTGCGTGGAAGAGAACGATGGAAAGATCAGCACAAGGAAACTTGAGGATGAAATAGGAATAGAGCACACTACAGCGTTTCGAATTTTGAAACGACATAAATACCATTCCTTCAAATATGAAAAGCACCAAGAGTTACGAGATGGGGACGAAATACGACGGCAGGCGTTTTGTTTTGATATGATGGAAAGAGCATACACGGATAGGGAGTTTTTAAAAAACATATGTTTCACTGACGAATGCACGTTTACCTTAAATAATGAACCCAATGTTCAAAATTATCGATATTGGAACCAAGAAAACCAACACAGGTTTGTCGAAACAAGGACGCAATATCCACAGAAAGTAAATGTTTGGGTAGGGATATTCGGACACAATATTATCGGGTCATTATTTCTTACGCGAAATTTAAATGCAGAATATTATTTGGAACTACTCGGAAATCATATTTTACCTGCTTTACATGATGCCGCTAGGGAAAATCAGGAAGTTTGGTACCAAATGGATGGCTGCCCGGCACATAGTACTGTTGGCCAGCAACGTCTCCTGATATTTCGCCAAATGATTTCTTTCTCTGGGGCTATTTAAAAAACAGGATATACAAGGATAAAAAATACCCAAGTCTAGACGAGTTAAAAAATGCTATTTCTGCCGAATGCAATAGAATTTCAATTTACCAACTAGCGAATGTAAGAAGAGAATTTTATGATCGCCTGGGTTATTGTCTAGCAGTCGACGAAGGAATATTTGAACATCTTCTTAAATCCTAAAGTTCTAACAATTTAATGGTACCTAAATTAATAAGTTATTGAATATTGTAATAATACTATAATTAACCTTGTAATTCATTACTTTATTTTACTTTAATTCATATTAATTTGTATTTATAAATCTTTAAGATTTCCGATGTAGAAATGAGTTTTCAATAATAATAAAGCACTAAATAGGTAAATTTCTGAAATGGCAACTTCATTTGACAGTTATCTTTTAACTTGCCTGATGCTCATAAGTAAATACAGGGCAATAAGAAAGGAGAAATATTAAAAAAGAAATCGGCGATAACTCGTAAACAAGCTAATCAAAAATATCTAAAGTTATTCTTTTGAATGTGGGTTTTAGTGCTCTTCAATAAACCTAAATAGAATTATTCTCTAAAATAATTAGGGAAGCCAATAATTGACCCCATTAAAATTTACATGGGATTTCCTATGTCCCATCCGACGATGCAACGCTCGGTATAAGCCGCCATCTTGCGTTCTTGGAAAAATAAAATTTGGAGCTAAAATTAAATACTTAATGATCATTTCTCTTCAAATAATTCAAAATTATCTAAATAAGATTAATAGTTCTCAAACAAAAGCAAATGTCTATATTTCCGTACACCTCGATCCACTGTGCGACGCGACAATGCCCAACATGGTATATTGGGTTGCCTATTGCTGCGCTTAAACTAGGATACTGCGAGATAGAAATTCTATTAGAATTTTCCTGCTAGTCAAAGCGCTGCTCTCTACCAGATAGCGCGACATTGTAAAATCGAAATAAAAAAACAAAGTAGGGGAACATGCGCTTCGATTTTTGTATTTCTTACCTTCCTTGACCTATCTAGATCAGCTGTAGCTACTAATTTGCCGGAGAATTCGGTATCAGCAGCGACTCGTGTATTGAATATAATCAATAGGTTTATCGTAAAGTGATTTCTGGTAGAGTTGACCTATATAATTTTATATAAAAAATACAACATGAACAGCCCCCATCTGCATAAAGGTATGTAATAATTAATTCTGTCAAAAAAATATATTTATTTTGTGTTTACCATCTTTTGAAAGACTGTTATTTTGAAAAAAATTGCCAGCGATATTTTTATAGATATGATGTTGTGTATAAAAATATAATAAATATTTTTGGAAAACATATGAAAATTTTTCACTAGTTACAGTATTGTTTATTTATGTAACGAAACTGTGTTAAACAAGTTCTAAAAATAGAATTTTATTTACCTATAAATTAAATTGCGTTCGGGTGCGCAGAATGCAGTCAAACGAAGAATATGTTAGTATTTTTTTTAAGAAATGTAATAAAGGTATTATAGAAATATATAGAAAACAATATTAATTTTATTTGATATGTATTTTGTTATCGGTTAATTTCTCGAATAGGTTTTTATTTATTTATAATATTTTAAAATGCAAGAAGAATATGGACCTATAATACAAATAAAACTAAATGAAATGTTTTTTTTTAATTTGCAATAAAAAATTAATACAATAATATAAAATCAATTTGAATATATGTAATGTAATAAAAAAAATATATGTATGGTATATAATGTATGTATTATACAGGGTGGTCCGAACTGTATTCCGGAAACTTCGGCAGGATATTCTGCAGATAAAAATAATTAAAAAAGTTCGTATAAATGTATGTCCGAAAATGCTTTGTTTTGAAGATACAGGGTGTAGAAGTTTCATTTTTATTTCGATTTTTCCTAATAATTTCTGAAGTAACGTCAATATTTGGATGAAAATTGGTATCTGTGACACGAGAAATTTGATTTTGATGTCAAAATTACTACTATTTGTAGGGGGCGCCACCTACATGTGTTTTAACTGTTTTGAAGAGTAATAACTTTTCGACCGTACCTGTATAAAACCACTGACTAAAAAAATATACATTTCCATGACTTTTTATGTAAAAAATGTCTCTTGGTAAAAATCGCTACGAGCTACCGTTCTCAAGATATTTAGAATGGAAATAGTCAATACATGTCATTATTGACAAAAGATAAGCACACGTTGATATAGTTATTTGACTGAAATAATACATTTTTATTTTTTTAAATTAATTATGTTTTTAAAATTAATTATGTTAAAAAGTTTTTCTGCGTAAAATTATGATTAAATAGTTTCTTTTGAACTTTTGACACAAACAGATTTCAAATTTATGATTTCAGTCTAATAACTATTTAGCCAACATGTTTAATTTATGTCAATGATGACAGGTATTGATAATTTCGATTCCAAATATGTCGAGAACCATTACTCGTAGCGATTTTTACCAAGAGACCTTTTTTTTCCGACGAAAAGTTATTACTCTTCAAAACAGTTAAAACACATGTAGATGGCGCCACCTACAAATGGGAGTCATATTAACATCAAAATCAAATTTCTCATGTCAAAAAACACCTATCCACCAATTTTAATCGAAATATTAATGTTACTTCAGAAATTATTTGGAAAAAATCAAAATAAAAATGAAACTTCTACACCCTGTATCTCCGAAACTAAGCATTTCAGGACATACATTTATACGAACTTTTTTACTTATTCTTATCTACAGAATATGCTGCCGAAGTTTCCGGAATACAGTTCGGACCACCCTGTATATTGACATGAAAAGATTTTTTTCTGTAAAATTTTACGCCTTCTTAAATTTAAGTACAAATAAATAATACTAAAATTGGTACTGTATAATACCAGAAAATAAAAAGTTCAGAAGAAAATTAATAAAATTGACAATTAATTAAAAGTTGATCGAATGGAAATGGGAAACGACGACGAAAATACTAGCATATAAAAATTCTTTGTGTAATGTCATAATGTCATACTTATTTTTATAGCGTTACCTCATAGGTTACCGAACCGGGTTCGCTTACAAAATCTTATTCATGTTTTGACCCCATTCAAAGAAAAATATTAAATCTATGTTTATTTTCGTCCGCCTACTTAATTCAATAACGATTTCCTCTGGGTCTACAAATTGCGCCAATCGTAATTAAATAAATATAAACAGAAAAAAATACAAATTTCAATTATGTACCGAAAATATATTATGATAATCATTTTAAAATAGCATATGCGTATCTAACAGCAAATCTCGGAACTAAGATTATTAAAATTATTTATATTTATTAGAATTATTTAAAATTATATAAAAAAAATCCGTTTTATTTTTCAAAAAGAAATTGTCTCGAGAATTGATTTTTTTGAACTTACATGCATTTTTACAAGACCATGCGCTAACAGGTAATTGTCAGTTTTCAGGTAATATTGCACGTTTGTAATTTGTATCTAATGTATTCTTATGGAGCCGCTTCACACGGAATCATATAGTCGATGAGCGCGGCTCCATAAAGAATATAATATGTACAGGGTGGACCATTTTGGTTGTTTCTATAGGGTATCTAGGAAACGTATTCAATTGTTTTCGATCACTTCCTGTTTCACCGGAAATGACTGAAACTTTTGATTTTTAAATGGCACCCTCGGTATTGTTTTACTTACATCCTGAATGGAATGACATATAATTGTCAACTTTTGACATTTTCGCATATGGTTTATTTGAACGTTTATAACTTTCGGTTCGTAACGAAAATTTGACTCGAAATGCCAACCCAAGTAGCATTTTCACGCCTTGCGACCACATGTTTACTAAACACAACGTTGGATTAGTTACAAAAAATAGTCAGCTCCCTACCTTAGGTATTAAAATAAATTTAAATGTTTTGCCGACGTTGGACTAATACTACAGCAAAGTAGAAGCTTCTGCGACGTCGAATAAACATTGTCTTGTAACCTTTTTTGCTTAAGTGATCTTTAGGTGATTCGGACAACGTAGTTACAACGTTGGACAATATAGAGTTTTCCAACGTCAGTTTCAGGACCTATTTCAACGTTATGCAAACGTCGTCTGTTTTACCAATTCCAACGTTGTTTAGATTTCCTTATTTTTACGTTGGTAGGACGTCGAGTCACTACCTTTTTGCAACTGTATTGAACCATAACTTTAAATCTTAAATTTTCACTTCATTGTTTTGTTCAGTCAGACAGTTCAGTGCTGTTTTTGTTTTTATAAAAAAAAACTTAATTAAAATGGGACATAAGAAAGGTACATATAAAACTAAATTTAAATATACATCTACATATATTACCGATAGTTTATCCACTCCCTCGTTTATTTAGATTATAGAGGGCGGCACAAGCTAGACTCTAGGATGACTAAATTAGGCAATCTTGCGACTAGTATACCACATGTTAAGGCCGAACTGCGACTTCATTAGTCCAGTATGCGACTACTCGAACTACTCCATCTTAATCTCCAAAACAACAAAGTGAAAGCCGCCATGTTGTTAAATAAGAAAATGTTTCGTTCCTAAAATAGCAATTCCTGCTTTTTGATTACATTAACTTGAAATATTTGACCCTAAAAACACGCGGAAACAATTTTTTCGACTGCGAATAAATTATTCTCATTTTACTAAAAAAAAATTCAAGAAAATTTTTAAAACTTCTTTAATTGTAATGCCCATTAGTATTTTTCAAAGTAGAAACAATACATTTATCAATAAAGTTGTTTGCGTTTAACTTTTTTGCCTTGGGTAACGAGTTACAGAGTCGGTTAAAGTGTTCAATAATTATGATCTTCAAACATCCTCCACACTTAAATACTTTTGTTTTGTTTTCCTTCACTGCCATCTGACATATGTCTCTAACTAAATCATAAAAATGATATTTTTACTATAATTATCCCAATTTAGGATAAAACGCGACTTAGACGCCATATTAGTTTTGTATTTCTGTGAATTAGGATTTTAAACAACGTTGCAGTTTGTACTAAATTAGGCTGCTAGCCAACGTCGGTATCCAACGTCGCGTTTCGACCCAAAAATTATTCTCCAAACTAGTGCAGACTAGGGTTGGCACGAGGTTGTGCCGACGTTGCGCCCCGACGTTTGGTCGCGTGACACAACGTTCTCCCGACGTCCAAATGCTGCTTGGGAAGTATATGGTATCAAATTATTCGTAAAAAAATGCTTTTTCCAAATATGCTAACGAGCCACCCTCGTTCCATTTGAAAAAATTGAGATATGATAAAAAATACGATATGGGCATTTTCTAACTTGTCAGGACAAGATACTAAAAGCATTCCCAAGCAGCATTTGGACGTCGGGACAACGTTGTGTCACGCGACCAAACGTCGGGGCGCAACGTCGGCACAACCTCGTGCCAACCCTCGTTAACTCGTTACCCAAGGCAAAAAAGTTAAACGCAAACAACTTTATTGATAAATGTATTGTTTCTACTTTGAAAAATACTAATGGGCCTTAAAATTAAAGAAGTTTCAAAAATTTTCTTGAATTTTTTTTTTAGTAAAATGAGAATAATTTATTCGCAGTCGAAAAAATTGTTTCCGCGTGTTTTTTAGGGTCAAATATTTCAAGTTAATGTATTCAAAAAGCAGGAATTGCTATTTTAGGAACGAAACATTTTCTTATTTAACAACATGGCGGCTTTCACTTTGTTGTTTTGGGAGATTAAGATGGAGTAGTTCGAGTAGTCGCATACTGGACTAATAAAGTCGCAGTTCAGCCTTAACAGGTAGTATACTAGTCGCAAGATTGCCTAATTTAGTCATCCTAGAGTCTAGCTTGTGCCGCCCTCTATAATCTAAATAAACGAGGGAGTGGATAAACTATCGGTAATATATGCCGATGTATATTTAAATTTAGTTTTATATGTACCTTTCTTATGTCCCATTTTAAATAAGTTTTTTTTATAAAAACAAAAACAGCACTGAACTGTCTGACTGAACAGAACAATGAAGTGAAAATTTAAGATTTAAGGTTATGGTTCAATACAGTTGCAAAAAGGTAGTGCCTCGACGTCCTACCAACGTAAGAATAAGGAAATCTAAACAACGTTGGAATAAGTAAAACAGACGACGTTTGCATAACGTTGGAATAGGTCCTGAAACTGACGTCGGAAAAC